CATATGACAGTTTGCCAATATTGAACTGATATGTTAGAAATAACAATGAAATTTGTCGACTTTACCTGAAATTTAAGTTTTTTCAATAACTTGTAAAACTTAGAGTTCAAACCATTTTCATATCTTTCTCTGATTTCCGACCGATATTTCCACAACTACATGGATGAAATTTCAAACACTGATTATGATACATAAAAAAATGAAATAAAGGTAACATCAAAAAAGAAACATTGCTTAGTTAGTTGACTTTTTTTTTGCTAAAGTTCGGTTTAGTTGACTATAGGTCAGCATACTAATTAAATTTAATATGGCTGAATATTTCTTTTTTTGATTGATAATTTCCAAAGTTATGATATGCAATTATTTATAAGAATGAACTCTATAATTGATTCGTATAATTCATACAATTGATACAAGTAGGACAGTAAATATCTAGCTACAATCAATATTGAGTAGAAAGGTAATCATTCCAACATATTTGCTCAAATTACGTTGATTAAATGTTAATCTAGGCAAATATCTTGTATGACTGTTGACTTTCTCAACAATACTTGTATAAGTTGCGATATTGTCATAATTTGTATTAATAGTGCAACTTATACAAGTATATTGACCTACTGAATGTTGGCACGTGCTAAAAGTTTGATCAACTAATTAAACTAAGAGTGGAAGATAGATTTTTTATTTTTGTTTTTTTTGTTTTTTGTTTTTTTGAACAAACGATTATCTACACTAAAGGGGAAGGGGGTGAACTTAGTCTCACAATGAGCTAGCAATAATGTGACTCAAACTCGTCTTTGGTGAAAATCGAATCTAAGACATCTTACTTATAAATAAAGAGGAATATTACTCGACTGTAATACTAACTTGGCAAATTTAATTTTTTAATCTTAGGTACCACACACACCGTCAAGTATGACAACCTTCAACATTTAGAACCGTTAGATCCAACCAAGAGTTGATTTAACTTTCCAATTGAACCCGTATTTAGTATCACTTGTTACTCTCTACACCTACATTATATTTTAATTTATCCATTTTTTCAGCAACATGGAAGAAAAAGAGAAAAGAAACATTATGAACAACTAGTCTAGCTCTAGCGACCGCAAAGTAGCTATCAGAAAAAGTTTGAACTAAACAGGAAGAGATTTCGCAAGGTTTTGAAAATCCATCTCGCTATTTAAACCCAACTTAGCTAACTCGTTAGATGTAAAATTATGTTCTCTATGAACATACTGCAAATTAGTATTTCTTTAATCCCAACATTACTTTGTAAACTTACCCCACTCTAAGAAACTTAATGTAGTATATAAATTTATTTATACATCCAACTAAATTAATTGGTTATTAAAGGAAAAAAAAAGTACCAAGACCTAGCACTAGAGAGAAAGAGAGAGATTGAAAGTTATCGTTTCTATTTCGAAGTCTTAATCCAAATTCTACACATATGTAACCCGAACGGAGATATGCTTTTGCAAAAAAAATGACAAAACACAAGGTACGTAGCTATTGAAAACCAAACAAGTTTAAGTTTAGTATATTGTTATTCACACACTCTTATTACTTTTTGTCCATTGATCATTATCTTTTTCAATTCATTTGATTTGACTGCAAATTAATAAGCGTGTGTAAGAGGTAAAAATGAGTATTTTGATAACACCACCTAAGTTTAAACCTTATTTCTTATCATTTTCAATCTCAGTTTCACGGTGTTGTGACAACTTCAGTCGCAGGTACTCCAGCTACGGCACAAATTGCAAGGGCATTTGGAATAGTGTTTCAATTCGTAACTTGTATCACAAGTATCATGTGCCACTGCTTCCACTTCAAATGATGAACAAACTCTTCACCATTCCTATCTTTCTTAACTTGTGTGTCAAGGACTTGTGTTGTACTCCATTCTTCTCCCCTACATGAATAATTCAACAAACTTTTAGTAACTATTTTATGTCATTTATCCAATAAAAGAAGATATAGATATGGAAAATACAACATACATGTATGCGTTCATGATATTTCATTTGTTTATAATTGGTGAATAAAGGATGAAAGTAGGAGAAGGACATATGTCATGCTCGCGTCTCATGCCAATAAAAATGTAAACTCCACGTGTCTTTATTTTATTGGCACGAAACAAAATGTATGTTGTTCTTCAGAAGTAAACCAGCAAAAGTCCGTTGTTGTGTCAGGTGAATGGTAGCCGAATACTAATGGGTGAAGGATTGAAATAGCACAAACACAACACACAAAATTGTTAACGGATTTCCCGTTTAACACCTAGGGAATTGATTTTCACATACCCATTTTAGCTTCCTACACACCTCTATTTAATCATAGCCGTTGGTTCCGTTTGATGTATCCAATGCAATGACCATAAATAGAGAGGTGTGTGTGAAAAGCACTTCCCTAACACCTATTCATAACAGAACTTGATCCTATATGTCCACACGATACCTGCACAGCAGGAAAAGGACCAAAAATATATGTTGTGATTATGTCGAGTTAAGATGTTGTGTAAACTTGGCCAAATCTAAAACCACACAAACGGAAAGTAAATACAGAAAATGATTACCTATAAATTTTATTAAGAGTCTTTTCCAAGAGTATTGCAGAGCCACCGGCTAGGTCATCTACCTTCTCCCCATTTTGAAGAAACGGAATGTTGGCTGCAAAAGAAATGCACACATCAACAAAGGAAATTTTGGGTCTACGGCATAAAACCCCAAACTATAAGGTTGATTCAAAGTTAGAAGCCGATCTTGAAGACCCTGCAAACATATAAACAGTGTAAGTAAAGGATGCGCACAAATGTAAAATTTTCGTGAGTTTGAGGATCAGTTTGTAGGATATCTTCGAAGATCTTATGCCAGCTTGAAAGCAACCCTATAATTTATGAGGTTTCATGTAGCTGACCCAATTAAATAAGCGAAAATATGTTTCCCAAACTATGTTAATATAATGGATGGTTATCTTTACCAAATTATTAATTATGATATGGTACAAATTACAAGTTACAACACAAATTAATGAATTTTATTTTAAAAAAAAGGCGACCCCAAGCCAACAAACTCTCAGCTTAGTGAAAGTCGGAGAGAAACGTCTATCATACGTAGTCTTATCTTTGATTTACAAATATAACTAAACATATGGTTCAAATTACACTAAGTATCGAATATTACATCCAAACAAAACAAAACAGAAAAAAAAGAATCATTTACCGTACAATTGATATTGTACTCTCTCATTACATTATTACGGTTTCTTTCTGCAGAGAGAATACACAAATCTTAAGATCGACTAATCTTGCAGCAAAGCAAGAAAAATATCATAGTTGTTAAAAACTAAAATGATTGGCAAAGGATTTGGACAAAATGAACAGAAGATCATTTTACAATGCCATAACAGATGATGAATGATGATTTCATACAATGCTACATGTGGGAATTCCTTAGCCCACCTATTGATGACTGAATGTATGAAGCAAAAGTCTGCAGAAGAAGAATAAACTAAACATAAGTTGAAAAATAGTACTTGGTTGCATGATTTTGCCGTTGAAAGTAAATTCATAAGAACTTACCATCTGTTCGAGCATCATAGAAGCAGAAGACCGCTGACGAAGATTTATCTATATCCCAATGAATTAATGAAAACATATAAGCTAAACTCCATTACACTAACAAGTTTTCTCAAAATAGAACAAATTCAAACAAATTTAAGATCAATTTAGGTTTAAAATAAGTATTATATATATATATATATATATATATATAATTGCGCTGAAGAGATTACCTTGAACTCTATTAATCTCCAAATCATACTAATCCTTTTCATACAAAGAAATTTCAGGGGGAACTGAAAAATAGGGTATTTGTGGTTACAGCAAAATGGGTGTAAACAACAAAAACACTGACCTGAAGGAGTGATAGAGTACCTCCGAAGAGGCGCCGGTCTTCCCATGGCACGTGCATATCCCAAAATTTGTTCCACATATCCAGTCAGGATAGTCTGATAAATTGATAAATAAAATAAAAATGAGATAGGGTGGGTTAGAGTTAGGGTTGAATTAGATACATGGAACAGACAAGGCGGGGTTACAAACCTGAAGAGGAAGAGAAGGGGCGACTCCTGTGTTGCAGAAAACCAAGGTTTGGTGGGGGTGAAGGTGGTGAAACCGGGACTGAAGTTAGGGTTAGGGTTTGGAGAGAATTACACGGATGAGCAAGAACTGCACAAGGGTTAGGGTTGTTGCGACTGCGAAGCAAGTGTCGCGCCAAAACCCAATAATCCCTCATTTTAATTTTGATTGGGGAGTGTTTCTTTTCACAAGTTAATAGGGCCATCAAAAAAAAAAAAAAAAGATGGGGCGCGCACACACATACAATACCACTATTATGGTAAATGCAATTGACTAATAAACTCTTGGTGAAGTTTGTCAGCTAATTTTAGAGTTTTAAATGCTTCATCTTCTAACTATCTTATCACCAAATAGACGATTCCTGGTATTGGTAAATGACATGATGGTAGATAAGGCAAACTTAATGACTTTGTGAGTCTTCTCGTACTTTTAAAGGATGAACTGTCGTAGTAAAACTATCAATTGGTCCTCATTTTTTAAGAAAAAAAATAGTTAAGAACTTTCTACCTTTTCCCTTGAAATCCATCTCCACAATAGTTTAGTTTTGGGAGACTTTTATGTGACAAGGACAACGATGATACAGTGATTTAAGTAAACTACACATTGACATGTTAAACATAAGACATTCAATACCGCTATGTAAGTTTCTCTCCCTATTTTTCTTCAAGGAACAGCGTGCCAAGTCACCACCACAACATTGGGGCCATATTTTGGGCCGGCCAATCCATAAAATATAGATTATATTGGGCCTATGTTTTTGTTCACCGTCAACCCGACCCGATTTCAAGCAAAGGTCAGATCAAGGACTATAGTATTCAAATCCAACGGTCAGGTCCAGTTTTAGTTTGTAGTACGTTTGAGGTCTAAAGACGACGACTCAACCATGGCGGGCAGATCGACGGCGGCGACACAGCGGAACCCCCCGCAGCGCCGGCGGATTTCCAACTCCTCGAACCCCAAAATTCTCAAGGGCCCTAAATTACTCTTCGCTTCCGCCTTGCTCCTCTGCGATTCGTTCCTCGTAGCCCTTATCGTCGCCTATGTCCCCTGTAATCTCCCTCTCTCTCTCTCTCTCTCTCTGTGAATTCGGATTGGTGATATCGTGAGTGTTTGGTTGCAGATACGAAGATAGATTGGGACGCGTACATGTCACAAGTGAGTGGTCTTCCTAAAGTTCTTATCTTTTTTTCTATATTCTGTGTGGTTACTGAGAAAATGACAGTATCTGATTGACAGGTTAGTGGGTTTCTTGGTGGAGAGAGAGACTATGCGAACTTAAAAGGGGACACAGGGCCGCTGGTCTATCCTGCTGGTTACCTGTACTTTTATTCTGCTATTCAGTATGTTACAGGAGGCCAAGTTTATCCAGCTCAGGTGATTACTTTTTTCATATGCGAAAGTTTTTCGCTGATGTTTAGTTTCTAACCATAGTTTGTGTCTGATGGTTTTGATTTCTATTTCGTGTTTGCAGATTTTGTTCGGGATTTTGTACATTGTAAACTTGGGGATCATTTTGTTCATCTATGGGAAGACTGATGTGGTATGACAACAATCAATCTTGTTTTTTGTGACTTTGAAGTGCTAATTCTGCTTTAACGCGTTTTGGCCGCTGATTTTGATGTTGCAAAGTTGTGATTGGTTTTATTAACCGTCTGTTGTACATGCTAATTGATGACAAGTGACAATATAAATGGGAAGGTTTGCTTAGTTCCATGGAAATTGTAGTCAAACTAACTGTATTACAGATTGGATATTTAGAAAAGTGTTACTGGATATTGAAGATAACAGCTTATTGTTTTTCAGCTGACAACTTTTGCTTAAACTGTAATTCTCCTCCCTTAGGTATCAGCTCTGATTTCAGCTTCCAATGCCGTTTTGGTTGTTGTTAGGTTCCATGGTGGGCTTTTACCTTGCTTTGTCTATCGAAAAGGGTGCATTCGATTTTTGTGCTTCGTCTTTTTAATGACTGTTTGGCCATGATGCTCTTGTATGCTTCGTTGGCTGCACTTCTTTACCAAAGATGGCATCTTGGACTGATCATTTTCAGGTAGCATTTTACATGCTTGACGAACTTTTTTCAAGATAAACAATAATTGTTTTAACTTTGGCTTTTGTTATCTATCAAGTGGAGCTGTTTCAATAAAGATGAATGTGCTTCTCTATGCTCCACCTCTACTACTCCTCATGTTAAAGGTAATATTAATTTGTCTTTGACCATTTATTTAAGATTCGTGCGTGGGTTATTTGCTAAAATTTCTCAAGCACCAACACATCTTTTACAGGCTATGAGTATCAGTGGAGTGATATCAGCTTTAGCTGGTGCAGCGTTACTACAGGTGCTTACCTTTTCCTTTTGTTTTCAACAAAATAATGTTTGCATAGGCTTGAAAGTTTTCAGTTGATTCAGCCTTGCAGCCTTGATGCACATTCTATTATTTTTCCTTTTCCATTCTTAGAATTCAGAGTAAGCAACTTTGGTAATGCGGAAGTTGAATGTATGTGTTTTATTCCAACATTGTTAGGTGAGCTAGACTTCAAGATCCTCAATTCAAGAGCATTTTCCAGTCGGGGTGTTCATTTGTTGACAGCTATTTGCTGAATGGTTCTGCAGATACTGTTGGGGATGCCTTTCATCATGTCTCATCCATTTGCATACATCTCAAGAGCCTTTAATCTCGGTCGAGTCTTTATCCACTTCTGGTACATTCTTCGAACATATAATTTAAGATCTATAAATGAAATTTTTCCGTTCATATTTTTGAGCGCATTTAGCAACACATGGTCTATTTTTCATTTGAAATTCCTTTCCTTGATTATTTCATGCAGTTTGTTGTTGGAAAATAACATGCTATCTTTTTCTCAGGTCTGTTAATTTCAAGTTTGTTCCTGAGCCAATATTTGTATCGAAGGCATTTGCAATCTCTTTGCTGATTGCTCACCTTGGTTTGCTCACAGCTTTTGCTCATTATAGATGGTGCATGTAAGCATAACTGTGTAATTCTTTTTAATAAGTTGTATTGGGAATTGGTGTGGTTTATGTGTTAGGTGTAAGGATCGTTCTATTTTTCCCGCAAGATAATAGGAAGTTGTAAAATTGAAGTTATGAATATGTTCCCGCCAAATGAAAACATTTGTTCTGCTCTCAACGTATTTCCATATGTGACTATTACAACCTCCTGATACCCCAGCAGGCACTAAGATAGGCTCTTGTCTACAATAACATGCAATTCTCTAGTATCTTGACAAGTGACTGGTATTTATAGATGGCCAAATGATTGTGTATTTTTGCTGAATATGTTTTGGTAATCGTCTTGTGCAGGCATGAAGGCGGACTCTTCAAATTTTTGTATTCTAGACTTGATCCTTTAAAACTCAAATTTGCTCTGACAAGTTCATTCCCTTTGAAGAAGTCCTCTAATAGCCATTCATCCACCAGAGTTCTTAGGAAAGAATGTAAGTAGAAGGCCTCTGTAATAAGGTTTTTTTTCCTTTCTACGTTTCCTTATAGCTGATACTAACGTGGGCATGGTAATTTTAGATATTGTGACTACTATGTTTGTCGGGAATTTCATCGGCATTGTATGTGCTCGATCATTGCATTATCAGTTCTACTCTTGGTAAGTTTTGCTGGATGATGTTCTGTATAAATTATAACTTGTAGCCGGACAGCTCTACTTAGAAATGCATGGTAGCTAATTTACATTATAGAAGGATCTGTAAAAGTTGTATCCTCAAACGTGATGGTAGGAAAGCTGAGGGCCTGAATCTGAATGCAATTGATGTCAATATATCTCAAAACTATTTGGAGTCGTTCTACTAAAATTCCTGATCTATAAGCTATATATTCGTTTATTTTGTTCATAACACACGAAGATCTTTTACTGCAGGTATTTCCATAGCTTACCTTATCTATTGTGGAAAACGCCTTTCCCCACAGTACTGCGGTAGGCTTCTTTATCATTGAATCCTTAGGCTACATAGTCTTCACTAATTCTTGTATGATTATTACTTTGATACCGATCATTTTGTTGATTGAACTTCGTTTATTTTGGACAGTGTAATGTTGTTTATTGGGGTGGAGTTTTGCTGGAACGTCTTTCCTTCTAGCATGTACTCGTCGGCAATGCTTCTTTTTCTCCACCTAGTAATACTGGTCGGTCTTTGGTCCGCCCCACCTGAATATCCTTATGTGGACGACAAAGCATCGACTGAAAACAAAGATAAATGATGCTGCATTTACTAGTTCTTCTTAAACAACGCTTATACAGACGATACTAAATCCGCTGATGTAGAACAAAGGCAACTTCCAGCTTCTTTTTCTTCCCTTGTACTCTACCAAGCATTAGGATTTTGTTTCTTCTCTTGAAATTGTTGTTCCGAATAGTGCTCTTCTTGTTTTGGGGACACAGTCGGGTTTCGGAATCGAAGACTTCCGATGTTTAGCTTATAAATGGAGAATTTGAAAGTATTAGACGATTGACCAACTAGCTCTTGATCTAGTATTACTTCTCTTTCGATTTTTGAATGAGGTTTGAATTTTGATCGAGGAAGATGGTGGAAGTTAATTCCTTTTGTTTCTTTCTTTGTTCATTGACATTGGAGAAATTAATTATACAAGATTGATCAACACTATTGTGTGCAGGTTAACTTGGTTCGAGTTCCTCCTTCATCTGGGACCTTTAAGCTAAATGTGGATGGTGCTAGGCTTGGTTCTAATGGGGTAATTGGAAGTGGAGGATTAATTAGAGATTGGCACAGTAACTGGATCAGTAGTTTTATTGCTAAAAAAAGAGTTGGAGAAGTTCTCCATGTTGAGCTTTGGGCTTTTATTTTTTATTTTTTTAATTAATTTTTTTATGGGTTGAAGATTGCTAAAGCTAGAAAATCATCCCCTCTATAATCTTGTCTCAAAGTGTAGAAGTTTGATCATATATAACTAGAGTTATAATTTGCAGCATGTTCATAAAGAGCGTAATTTTGCAGTTGACGAATTAGTCAAATTGGGTTTAAGTAATGAAATGAAGTTTCAAGAACTTGCAGAGCCTTTTCTTGTTTAGTTCATTGCCCTGAAAAAAAAAAAATTTTAGGAGAGTACTATAATTTTCCCTAAAACCAAAAAGCAGAGCAATTTATTTTTGTGATAATAAAAATTTGAATTTCAGTGGCGCTCGGCTTCCCAACTTCCAAGTTATTCACTTTCCAAAAATGCCCACTCACCTTTGGCCAGAAAAAGAAATTTTAAGTTTAAAACGAGGGACATATCAATAATTTCATTGGAAACGAATCACCGGAACCATAAACCAGAGGCCACACCGCACCCAAAGCACCCAACGCATCGCCATTGCAGCTACTGTACGGACGGAAGCAGGAGCAAGAAGGACACTTCCCAAAGTTGCAGAGAATGGTAATTGCAAATCATCGTTCTCTCTTTCGTTATTTTTCTCGAAACAAACCGTTCAATTTCACCCAATTTCGTCGCTAGGGTTCCTAATTTTCCAACTCCGATTCGATTCAATTCAAGGTTTTGAATTTATAGCTACAAACTTCGATGCCCAGATTTTGTTTACTTTTGATTTCCACCGCAAAAGCTTGTGTCTTTCTCCCTGGTTGTTGCACTTCGCCCAAATGTGTGTGGCTTTGGGGTTCGTTGGGGCAACTCTGTCGAGCGCTTTGGTTGTGCAAGTGTATGATTTGACTGTGAATTTGTTTTTCTTTGCAGGACGGGCATGATTCGGAGGATCCGAAGCAGAGCACTGCTGACATGTCTGCTTTTGTGAGTGCCTCATTGTTCTCATAGCTTTCGAGTTTCGATTTTTGTTCGGAAAGTGTAGGACTTTTAAGATTATTGAATCATTTGTACAAGAATTTTATGTTGGTAAATCTCGCCTTCTGTGGTGTTCTTATCATGTTTTTTTGGGGTTTGTTTGTTCGCAGGTGCAAAATCTTCTTCAACAAATGGTGAGTTTTTCGAGTTGTAACTTCAAGTTGAGTTGATGCTGGTTGAATCAAATGACTATTACTGATAAATTTCTGTCTGCAGCAATCTAGGTTCCAAACAATGTCCGACTCCATTGTCACGAAGAATATCCTATTCTCACTTTCTTTAATTTTGAAAGCGCTTATTGATCCATGCTAGGTTAATACATTGGAAAGTTTGGTTCTTTAAATGAATATGACTGCTTAATTAAAGCCTTAAAATTCAGTTTTCCATAAAACTATCTTATCGATGTTTGCTGGTTTTGGCTGCGATTTGGGATTGTCAGATCTTAATGGGGTTTGAAACCTTACAATCTGTGTTATATAATTGTAGTGGCTTAAATGAATTCTCTGTTATGTTTCCTTAACTGCGATCACTTGACGAGATGGGCTCTCGCATAAATGAGTTGGAGAGCAGCATCAATGAACTAAAAACAGAGATGGGAATGGAGGGCTCTCCGTCTCCAATGCAGCAGTCCAAGCCAGCGGCAGATGAAGTGAAGCAAGATGAAGGTTCTGCATAAATTTAGTTACATTCTTGCAGATAAACATAGTGCTTGTCTTACATTTGATAAGGTTTTCGAACTTGTGCTAGCTTTTCATTGTCTGCAATTGTGTATTTGTGCTTGACTGATTGAAGCTGATGTTTCTGTGAGATTATAAACACTCAGTGTGCTCTTGAAGCTAATGTTGTTTGTGATCTATCTTTTGAAAGTCATTAATATGAGATGATGTCTTATCGTGCGTTGTTTCTTATCAGAATTTAACAGTTCATTGGTGTTTATCTTGATTTTTGAATGTTTCGTTGCTGGGAAAACTTTGACACATCGTCCTTGGACCATGATTCTGGAACTCCTTTCCCTACTTTGACTCTGGTTAATCCAGGCATGGGAAGACGAGAAAAAATACACACAAAAGTTATTAGGATAGCTTACTTTTTTATATTTCAGCGATATTCTAGTCTAATCCAATCTAAGAGAAGGGGGATTCGAACTTGGCTACAATCGGATTTGCATATTAGGATTGATTTTTAAGATAAAGCATAATATAAACATTACAATTCACAACATGTTATGTTTAATCCAAGTGATAAACATTGAAAAACATGCTACACCGTTGATCAACTCCGGCAATGAGCAATAGCACTGCATCCACGGTTGTATGGGTTGCTTTGAGCACCTGGCTTGCAGTTGTAGTAGGAAGCACCTCTCTGAGAGCAAGGCACAGTGTTTCTCTGCAGAGCTCCATAGCTTATGTATTGTGAGGTGGCCAGGATGCGCCTGCTGATCTCCGAGTCCATGCCAAACTCATCATCATGATCATCCATGCACTCCGCTACCGAACCCTCACAGCGGGGTCTCACTGGAACCCAGCTCGCCCCATGACCGCCGCTTGCATCAACGGAGATGATCAAAGCAGCCACGAAGGCCAAGGAAAATATAACGGCAGAGGAATTGCCCATAGGTTTTGGTATGTTGTGTGTATTTTGGCTGCCAACTTGTATTTAAAGTTGTTAAGAGTTAACCTAACAAGGTCATGACTTAATTGACTTGCACTAATTCAACCTTGTTCTTATTGCAACTAGGGAAGGTGAAATTGGAATATTCGTGATCTGTTCAAAACCTACCAAGAAAACGAAATTTACCACTGGTAAAAAAATATGCTGGTAAGATTTACGGGTTGTTCCCGCTCATAATTGCTTTTGCTAAGGGTGCTTTTATCAGAAAGACGTTGAGACTTTAATTAAAAAAACCAAGTGTTTCTTGAAAATGCAATTGGAAATGTTCCCCCTCTCCCCGAAGCGCTTGTTGACCTAGAAGTGCGTTTAAGTTTTTCTATCAAACGCTATTAGAAGTGTTTTTAGTCAGCAAAGAGCTCTTTTAGCCATTCTTAAAGAAATTTCAAATGAGCCATGTCAAAACCGCAGCACGCTAGCCTGGATATTCAAATCATAAGTCATTATGCAACTAATCATTGAAATTGATACTGTTTTTGAACCTATGCCAGCAGGCACTACAACAACTTCGAGCAACTTAAGCTGACTTTGATTAAACTTCTTGCTACGTTAGAAGATTCAGACTAATCTTTTTGAAAACAACAGCTAAACAACCCATTCTATCATACTCAGTTGGCCAGTTAGATGTAACGGTGGTTTGGGATGATGTTCGGGGAAGTATTTTGAGAGTAAAACGCTCAACCACTTAAGCTATAAGCCCCCACAGAGTTGCGTAACAGCAAAGATGGCTGAACAAAGAAACTCTGTTGTATATAAACAAATATAGCCGTCCCAAATTCACCGTTTCGTGGTAAAATTTACAATACATATGGAATGTAATGGATCGTGAGTCTGCAGAAGTATATGTAGTACAAAATGACCCAAAAGGGATGATGTTCGGGGAAGTATTATGGGGGATGGAAGTGTAAGAATCGGATGATTGCCTAACAGCGGCATCCGTAAGAACTCTCCTATCTTTCTAGTTTACTAAGTAATGCTTCTATAGGCGGCAGCTCCTGCACAATTTGTTGCCAGTCAGGCATGCCCTGCAAAGATATCAGAGTATATTACAGATGTATTCTACTCCGAAACAATAAAAAGGGAAACGAAAAGGAGAAGATGACGCTCGGAGTTAAGTTTTCCTTCGGTTGAACAAGTTTAAACGCTTATGGGGTGTATGGAAACAAATGGAGCAAAAGAAACGCGTATATGTGATAACCAAATCGGTTATTTCAGAAACTCAAATCCAGAACTTAAGTAAATCAATGCAGTATGCACTTACCTTCCCTGATCTTCGAACCCTACCATCTAGGCGCAGTATAATGTAGACATCCTCACCGGGAGTAACTCCTTCGGACTTTTGCTGATCCTTTATCCACCTAAACAAGCATACAAACACAATAACGCGTACAAACCAAATAATGCATATAAACACAAAACATTTTGTCATTTAGAGTAACAAAGTGATGGCGAAACAAGTGCGTAGACAATATAGAGTAGCATGTAACCTTTCCCATTCTCCAGGGGAAACAACCTCAGCCTTGAATCGGATTTCAGCTTTTAACTTTGACTTTGCAGTTATAGACTGAGTTCGTTTCTCGAAATCCTCCTACCATAGAGCCAACAGATATAGTGGGAAGAATGAAACAAATGGTCGCAATCTAAGGCTTGCTCAGAACTATAGAAGGATGATGCTTTGCAAGAGAACTATAGATGAGAGTCTTTGCATCTTACCCCGATAGAAGGAAGAGCAGCAGCTGCCTTTGAAGGTGAACCGAATCCTTTCTTCTCTATTTCAGGTGCCCTAACTTCATCCCAGATGACAGGAACTAGAAGAACACCTCTTCTTAGGAGCTCAGTTCGAAATTTTGCTGCCTGCTGGATACTTAAGGCCACAGTCTCCTTCTTCCCTGCTAAAATAACCTAAATCGTAGACTTTATCAGATCATCGGCATATCCAGATAATGAAAACAGAAATCAGATGTAGAGAAATATCAACATATAAGCTACATAGAAAGATTCCAGATAACCAAAAAAAGCATTGGCACTCACAGGCCTGACAGTGTCTCGCAACTGCACAAGCTCAACAACCCGGTTAGTGGAGAGGCGCAATGGCAATCTCGATAGATTTTCATCACGAGATATTTGTGAAAGTTGTTCCTCCTCCTTCTTGTTTTCCCATAAAAACAATGCCACAAGAACAATAAGACCTGTAGATTACTGATCCAAAAGCTTAGCCATATTAAAATGCAAGTTAGATAAGTTCACGCAGTATGATACTCAATCCCTTGATCTCCCAAGAAATTGAAAGAAGACATGACTGCCGGTGAACACCGGACCCAAAAGCTTACACTCGTGAAAGTTGGATCTTTTGGTTTTTTATTCTGTTGCTCATTGAATGAATATATGACTCCAAATATTCTATAAGATTATAACGTTCTCTTTTCGATGAAGCAGAGTAACTTACCGAGAACCATATCTGACAAACGTAGTATTGTTCTTCATAACAAGGTTATCTAGTTGAAGTCACTCAGTACTTTTGTACATCAAAAAGAAGGGAAATTCATACTTTGAACTTTCTATATGCAAGTAAAAGCACTTGACATTACCTCCAATATTAATGGCAACATTGCTGGCAGTTTCCCCGAGATCAGGAGCACCATCACCACCTGCAATTGCACGGAACAGCCTCGGTACAGTAAAGAACGTTGAGATTCCTGCAGCTGCAGAGAAAGCTACATAAAAGAATCTCCTAATCCCACGGAATGGTGCTTGGACTTCACTAATGAGCTTGAGATCTCTCCTAAAACCGTAGCCTATATCTTCCCCACCTAGTCTAGCCTGTATAAACAAGAAATATTCGTTACAGAAGATGTCTATACACGGAGGAAAACATGGCAAATGTTTCAACAACGAGTAACAGCTATTTATATGACTCCATCACCTTCATAATCCAAATGGTTGAAACAACCAGAAGATGAGATGCACTCTCAAATTTTACAGGACAAAACAACAGGTACACTTAACAGTTCGAGTTTAGTAACAAACCTCTTCTTGCAATTCCTTAAATTCGGGCAAAGCTCTGAAAGAGGCCAAGTCGGGATCATTCAAAATTGTGCCAAATTTGAGGTCATATTCTCTCAAGGCAGTACGTAGACAATCAGCAGCTTTCCTTCCTTCCCCTCTTCCTCAAAAAGTGAACAAAAAACAACACCTATCAGCCTAGCTAAGAGTTAGATGCGAGTAAATTCCAGATAGAAAATACACATTTCGTCCATTTTCATTAGAGTCTGAGATGCAGAAGGAAAACCAATGAAGTAATCCGAATTCCATACTTGTAGGCGTGACAACAGGCCTTGTTATACAGCGCAGCCTGGGCCTCGATCGTGTTGGGGTCCAAACTGAGTGCTTTTTCAAACTGAATTAAGGCATCTTTAACCTGAAAACACCAGGAGCATAGACAATTAGACATGATATCAGATAATTCCATACAACAAAAAAAGAGAGCTTCTTTTCACCAAAATACAAATTTCTAGACGTAAACAAATAGAAACAAACCGCAAAGACACATTTCTGCTTTCCTAAACTCAACATATAAACAACTCTAGCTAAAGATACGATATTTTTGCTTTCCTAACCTCAAAGATGAACAATTTTAGTTCATATTATAGCAAAATATAAAGAAAATCATGAAAACTCGACACATACGCACAGGACGTCCTTTGGCGTCAATGGTAGAGTCAATATTGCCGAAACTGTATCAATAACAATGATTTTTTCTTACTTAGGAAACCGATAACATTAATATCGACAAAATATCAATGACATAAAACCATTACGTCCTTTAAAAGAAGACTAAACTTCAACATACCGATCTCACAAAAACGTAAAATTTGCTCAATGAAATTGAAAATTGCGATGATTAGTAGGGAAAAATGGGAAACTACCCTTCCTTTGGAGAAGAGCTGGAGACCCAAATTCACACAAGACTCGGGGGTTTCTGCATTGGCTTCAGTGGACTGAGAAGTTGAAGAGCAAGAGATGAGAGAGATGCCGGCTGAGTTCTTGTGGATTTGCAAATGATTAAGCGTGGTGGTTGCTCCGCCGGGAAGCGACGGCCTTTTTCGTGTTATTGGGTTCGACAAGCGGAGCCATTGGCGGTGCAGAGTCGGAGCAGCCACAGCCATTAGAGCGAGTTTTACTAACTCGCACTGTGGACCGTTAACACCCTATCAACAAAGAGAAGCGAATCCGGTGTCATGAATCCAGCATCAGCAGAAGATCCACACCGTCCGTAGTTTACCGTTCACTCTTTGGGTGGGGAAAAACCTTACCGCCACCAATGTAATATCCTATTATTTTTTAAAAATGATCATGGAATTCCTTCTCAAAATACTTCCTCGCCAATTCACGCAACTTCGTGGTCACCAAATCATGCAACTTTATGTTTATTAATAAGTCATTATATAAAGTATTTGAGATAATACTGTAAAGGATAGAACTTAGACCTGATATATTTGTTTCATCTGTTTTGGATATTTTTGGTTAGTTAGGTGAGTTGTCCTTTCTGTTAGTTAGATGAGGTGTTAAGTACAAGGCTTTATATGATTTGTATATATACCAACAATGTAATCTTATTCAAAAAGAAATGAAACCACAATTATTCAATATGGTATCAATCGCCTCTGTTTAAAGACTCTCTCACCTCTGATCCTCTTCGCTTCCTCATCGATGAACAGTTCTTCGTCCTATTCCTCTTCCAAACCCTAGATATCAACCATGATAGCTAATTCCTCTGCATCTGACTCTGAATTCATCCCTCTCCGGTCACAAATCAATGCCCTAACTCTTCTCAGTCGCTGATTTCTTCAATCATGATTCAAAATATTGGATCTTTGGTTCCAATCAAGCTCACCACCACGAATTATCTTACCTAGAGTGCTCTCTTCGCTCCAATTTTTCGCCGGTACAATCTCACTGGCATTGTTGATGGCTCGATGACTGCTCCGCCCAAATTTCTTCGTGATTCGGCTGGAAATCGCACATCCACGTTGAATCCTAAGTTCATGACTTGGTATGAAAATGATCAGAATATCTTGATCTGGATCAACTTTACTTTCTCCGATTCTCTGATTTCTTACATAGTTGGTGTTACATCTCCTCGGGAATTGTGGTCTAAACTTGAATCAAGGCTTGCGACGGCTTTGCAGTCTCACATCCATGAACTTCGATCTCGTCTTCGTAATATCACAAAAAGAGAATCTACCGCTGCAGTTTATCTTCAGCAAATTGAAGAAATCGCTAATGCTCTTGCCAGTACTGATGCTCTGGTTGAGGATTCTGAATTGATATTTGTAACTCTTCATGGATTACCTCCTGACTATTATTCATTCATTGATGATGTTCAATTTCGTCTTAGATCAACTACGATTGATGAATTACATGGACTTCTTCTCAGTAAGGAACTTCAACTCAACAACCGCAAGAAAACCTCCTCAACTTCTATCCAAGCTTTCAATTCATCCACTGGCCTTCTTCCTACACCACATGATCCTCCAAATTCTCAGGCGTTTGTTGCACAAAATTTCACCAATTTTAATCAAGGTCGTGGC